AAATAGCTGCCTGCAGTCCACACAGAACATCTCTTTCTGTCCACTCTCCTTCCCAAAAACATTCATCTGAGAAAGGTCATTATTTCTGCATTTGACTGGAGACAAGAACTCTGGAGCACTCTCAGGTTACCACAATAATTAAGAGAGACTCTAACAGCATGTTTCCATGCCAAAGGCCCTGAAGTGCAGTACAGAGAACATAAGAAAAATAAAGTAAAACAAACAGCTTACTCCTCGGTGGAACACTGCCAGCTCCCAGGTGAAACACAACTGTTGTGAAATTGCATGCAGCAACACGAGAAGTTTGAAGAAGAACCAGAAAGGAACATCATCCAGTTGACAGCAGGTCACCCTGTCTGGATTTTGATCGTAGAAATGTTGAATAAATCAGCACTGCAGAAGTCTTCTGCAATATCTAATGGCAGCCCAACATCTCACCTCTTCCATGGACTCACATTAAAGCTACAGCTTTGAAAAACCTACAGTAAGATCAGAAGACCCAGCCCAAGCCTACTGCCTCTGCCCAGTGACAGAGGCTCAGAAAAAGGCTGTAAGAAAGAGAGGATGATAGAGCAACCCCTGGCAGCATCAGCCACCACCTCCCACAGGAACCAAAACCAGGATGTTTGCACATTCTCTGAGACCAATCACACTGCAAACCCTGGAATCAACCTGTACCCACAACAAGTGGGGCAACTACCTCAGAGGTCAGCAAAACTGGTCAGAAAAGAAAAGAAAAGAAAAGAAAAGAAAAGAAAAGAAAAGAAAAGAAAAGAAAAGAAAAGAAAAGAAAAGAAAAGAAAAGAAAAGAAAAGAAAATCCATATTCTGGCACACAACATCAGTGACAATCCAAAACTGGCTGGAGTTCACCTTTTCAAGACACTGATTGCTCTCTGACTTCACAACATTAACAGACAAAAACATTGCAAGACACATTTTCCACAAGATACTACAAGCTGGCTGCTTTTGTCTGCACCAATTTTACATGTGTGAACTCCCCTGAATTTGAAGTGCAAGTGTCTGCACCAGACATATATAGACACACATGAAAGAAAAGGTCATTCTTTGAAAGAGAGGCCTCCCAAAAAACTGAGAGAAAAGCAAGTTTAACATATTTCAAATTATGGCCAAAATCCTGCTTGTAGCAGGAGGAGAAAGACAATATCCATGTCAGAGGTCCATCACTCACAATCAAAATTACATATTCAGCAAGACTAAGACTTAAAAGAGTAAGTGGATTGAAAAAAAAGATGAATTTTTGGGCATGCTTAATTTTGAGCTTGGGTTTAGGTAACACCAGATGTTTAGGAGGACATGAGAGGAACTAATGTGGTGTCCAGAGACCAAGAGAGAGGGAAATCAATGGATGCACCACTTGTGAAAACAAGTGCAAGGAGAGAAGTGAAAGACAGTTTACAGAGAATAAAGATTGGAGTGGAGGGTGAAGGGCAAGAGAAGGAGAGAGAAAGGTTCCAGTGAAGTTATGCAGTGATGTAAAAGGAGGAAATACTTATAAAGGGAGAAGCACTGAAGACAAAAAACCTGGTTAACTGGCATTAGCTTAGTGAGGGGTATTTCAAAAAGGCTGTAGAGGAACAGTCAGGATATAACAGAGCAGCTGGCCTGTGGAAGCCAAAAACATGTGTCCACAGAAATCCTGAGCTGTAGAAATCTGAGGGATGCTGCCCAAACACTGATTCTGTGTGTCCCAGCACAGTGATGGGACACACCTTAATTACTACCCCATTAACACCACTACAACAGACTCCAAACACTTCACACATCCTTCCTGAAAAGTCATCACATGGTGCAGAAGAAAACTACAGCAAAAACAGTACTGGACAAGCTCTAGATTTGACTGTGGCTGGTAAAATTTTGTTGTTTCCCTGCTGAGACAATAACTGAGCAGTGAAATGATCCTTTTTCTCTTCTGGATCATCACAGTTTCCACCTGAAGCACACTTTATAAAGAATTTCCCTTTTATTTGGCATGTGAGTCAGATAGGCAGCATCCCCTGTCCACTATTCCAGAAGGAGGTGTATTACCTTGACCAGATTTCATCTGTGGTGAATGTTTACCATATGGAAACTGTACATATCAAACTCTGCCCATGGTAACATACACAGCGTAAATATCCTGGGGCTGCAACACAAACTTTTCCTGTATAAGGAAAAGTTTGCTCCCATCCTGGGGAAACAATAGTTTGAGTTCTACAGAAAAAAAAAATTTTAAAATGATTCCTTGACACTGGTAGCAGTTATGGCTTCCTCCCCTCTTGAACCTTCAGCTGGTCTAATATCTTGAATCTAATCTGGCCATAAACCTCAGAATGGCACAATGTGTGTATTTCTCAATCAACAATTATGCTAACACCAGTTGCATTAGTGGAAAAGGCCAGGTTCCAAGTTGATTTTATCACTTTTCCACAGACTTTAGCAGAGTTATCATCCTTGACTCACCAGAGGGAATCAGTAAAGTGGGAGATGAGAACTTGTAACTGTGCATGGCTCGTGTGGAGCAGCCCTCTGGGGCCACCAGGGCACAGCTGGGCTCCTGCAAGGGTATCCCTCAGAATCCCAGCTTGCTCCCTGCTCCCCATATTTAGGAGGAACTCCTAAAATGCTGAAAAATGCACCTTGGTCCCTAACAACTCACTGTGCTGACAATACTGGGCTCAATTCCTCATTGATACCACAGCTGGGGTCGTGCTCTCAGGGCTCTGCAGGGTTACAAACACCAGCAGAAATCTACTGGTTTAAACTTAATCCTGAAAGGATGATGGCAGTGATGGAGAGGAAAATACCCTGAGGCCCTGGTGAGCACTATAATTATGCCTTCCCGAAGAATGATCCCCATTCTTGTCCAAGTGGTTTGTACTTTTGGGGATTTACTGGATCTACTGCTGATCCCAGATTCTCAGGCAAACCTTCCATTTCCCAGCAGACTGTGATTTCACTCCCTCACTTGTCTTCTTACAGTCTTCTCTACCTACTTCACTCTCACAGTGCTATGGTATAACAGCACTTCTAGGACTACTCCCAAAAAATACTTGAAAGCAGAAGAAGAGCAGGATATTTTATGGGAAAGGTCCCTTGCTGAAATGTTCCCCATTCACAGCCCAGCTGAGCATTAATTCCTCTACACTTTCTGTGAGCAAACCTGTAATTAGGTATTTCCTCATGGATGAGTTGAGGCTGGTCAAGGGTTTATCAGGCTCAATTGAAAATACAGGACACGCTGCTTTTACAGACATCCATAAACAGAATCTAAACACTAAGAACACTTCTAAAGCACATAAAAACCACTTTCAAACATTAACTAACATGATATGTGCACAAACCAGAGCAAAGAGGTCACAGGAATTGACCTGTTTTACACAGCTGTGCTCAATTCACTGACCTGGAACAGCCTTTAATTAGGCATTTCCATACTCTTAAAACAAAGGCAGAAATAATGCCCTTTCACACAAATAAGAGATTTGCAAGTAAGTTTTCCAAACAACACAGAGCAGAGCAAAAATCTTTGAATCTATGAGGTGCTTACAGAGAAATTATTCATAAATGCCTTTCAAATCTGGCACGGAGCCTAAAATGTCTGAGGTATTGGCATTTCTGTACTTGGGGCTTTCCTAAGAAAACAGAAACTACAGTCAAAAACCCATTTGGAATCACTTTGTGTCAGCCACCATGTTACAGCTGTGTCCTGTCCAAGCTCCCACAACCTGCAGTGTTCCAGCTGCTGAACATGACTAAACTGACATACAGAAAGTCTTACTTGTAGGAGGCTTTTCACAGGAGGATGGAGATAAATAGAAGATGCAGTAATGGGATCTAAGCAAACAGCAGAGGCACACTCAAACACCCAGCTCAAACAGTAACGGCACATTCTGACCTCTTTCAAGCCAAGATCTAATTCCTCTGCAGATTAACTCCCCCACCCTCAAAGTCATTTTGCCTGTCATCTCCCAGGCTGATTCTTAACAAATACTTACAAATGTGCACATTTGTGGCCTTCAATTGATCCTAACAATACTCCCCAGATGAGAAGAACATTGTCCCTGTCTCTGCATGACCTGCATTCTCTCTGTTTCTAGGTTAAAAAATAATAATTCTATCTCCACAGAGTAATTAATTCCAGAGCTGAAAAGCTACCAGCCTGCCTTTCTGATATGTAGAAAGTCTACCTATATTTATTTCCCTGGTAAGATCCAATAGGCAGAGGCAATGTGTTAAATTATTATAAACAAACTTACAGTCCCATAACAGTCACAGAAAGCAAAGTCTGATATCATCTTAAATGAGGGCTGTTACACATTCCACCATCCTTAATCCAATTTAGGCAGGAGCTGAAAGGGCTGAAGCATCAGCCTTCAAAGCTCCAACTATTTGGTGGCTTTGCAAGGTGAACCTGGATCATGCAACACAGCTACTGAGGTGGGCAGCAGCAGTGTAAAACTGAGTGTGGCTGGGCTGCTGGAAGATGTCCAGATTCAGCACCATCTGAACAGTTGTAACAATGAAGCTGTTTCCTCAAGAAGCAACCTGAGGGAGCACAGCACCTGCTCTCCCATGCGCTGGAATCTCTCTGGAGTTCCACCAAGACCCACCTCTGGCTATAGATAGAGGCAAAGGAGCAAGTTACTGAACTGCAGGTGAAACCTGCCAGAAGACATCACAAAAAGAGAAAACTGTCTTTCCCAGAAAGCTAACAGCAGCAGTCAGTACAGCTCTGATGAGAAGTGGTGAACTGACAGCTCCAGAGGCCCAACTCCTCTCTTCTTTCTCCCAGTACACACACGTGATCACTGTACACACTTCCTCACAGTACATTTTACATCAGTCTTAATTTCTGGAAAATGAAGCACATTTAGTCCCTGGCCTTTCATCTGCCACAGCAAATAAAGAGGTCAGTATGGGGTTTAGGTGTGAAGAATTGTTTTACATAGAACTGTTAGCAAAGCACAATCCCAGTCATTCCAGGTTAGTTAACAGGGATACCTGAAGGAATGAAGAACGTGTAGCCTTGTTTCAGCTCAATTCTTTGGCACCGTTCCACCCTGTCTCCCAGAAAGATATCACTTTGCTTTCCTGAGAGAACCCATTCTTCATAAAGTTCTAGATTCTGCAGAGTAGGTGGAATCAGCCAGAAGATCTAAAAACAAAATGAAGATTTAATTATTACCAACAGTCAACAAAAAGAAACAGCTGAGAGACTCCACCAAGGTTACAGTGTATTAGGCAAATGAGCTGCTTTGTGCATGAAACACTTGTTTTCCAGGTGTTGTACACAGAGGCACACACAGACAGCAGCAGCAATTAGCCCACGTGCTGGAAGTGCCTGGGTAACTGTCACTTGTCATCTCTCTTCCAGAAATATCTTACTCAGAAGCTGCCTGTGGTTTACCTGCAGTTCAGAACTGCGTGTTGGTACAGAGAGGAGCAGGATCTGTACCACTGACTGACTTCAGTTCCCACCACACACTGGCCACACTCCAACTGGGAAAAACATCCTAAACCAGGAAAGATGGTAATACAGCTCTACATGCTGTGTATTTTAAGGCTTCTGTATCCTTTAATGTTTCAGTTCTGGCTTACTGTGCTGTACACACCAAAGAAACGTGAAATCTCTAAAAGGAACAGAAGCTTTAGCTCCAGAGGCTTGTGAGGGCACTCTGACCCAACAAGGGTACACACAGCCAGCCACATCTCACTGCAAGATACTTCTGGACCCCACAGCAACAGCGAGCCTAGAAGCACCAGCACCAGCAAATAACACATTTGGTATTTCAAATAAATCACTTGTTTGTTTCATAACGGTGACTGGTGTCCTTCTAGTTCAGTAAACTCTGTGTGTATCAACAAAGCTGCTGAAACAGCCTGATCACTGGCTGATCCCCTCAAGGAAAAAAAAAAAAAATAGAGAAAGGGGAAAAAAAGAAAAGAAAGCGACCCCTCTGCTCTGCAAAAGGCACAGAGAAGTAAAATCAAATATCAAAAAAGGTTCACCTACCTTCCCCCCACGGAAAACGTGATACCACACTGAAGTGCCACCAAAATCAATATGAAAATCAGTGAAGCATCCTTTCACACTCATCAAACAGTACCTGCAAGTAGAGTGAAGGACAAAAATGAATCAGTCTGAAACAGTATTTTTCACATCTTAATTTGCAGAGGTTAACTGCCTGTGCAATGCTGCTTCCAGCAATTAAGTTTCTGCATTTACAAGACAGGAATTTGTCTCATGAAGGTAACAAGGTTTCTGCTGAAAACTGCGTATCTCCATGTCTGAGTTTGCTGCTCATACAAGAGGAATTAAAGCTTCCAGAGTTAGGGAATAGAAAAACATTAAAAGTTAGGCTGCTCAGAAATATTTCTTATGGCACTGCCAGTCCCTGGGGTGATCTGTTTAATGCTCTCCTTCATCGCTTCAGAGACACAGCCTTCACCAGAAGTTGTACACAAATTGCTGCAAAGTTTTGAAAAATCTAATTTGCTTATAAATCCTCCTGAATGTTCTTTACCTACTTGCTACTCATGCCATTTTTGCAAAGATTAGGGGACAGAAACCTCATTTGGCAAACTAACTCCTTTTTGTTCACATTTCTAGGCATTCTGCATCAAAACACATAAAGGACCCAGCTGGCAGCCACACTAACTATCAAATCCACTATTTTTTACGCCGTCTTGATAGAGGATTTGAGCAGTTTAAAGTCTGCATTGCTGGAAAAGACACAAGAGCTGTGGTCTGGCTGCAGGAATCTCCAGCCTGCAGCCACCATCTGTAACTAATGGCCGAATCACAGCCTCCCTCCTCACTGTAGGCACCTTTGCAAACGCAGGAAACACACACCACTTAACCCACTAACCTCTTTTCCTTGTTCCGGTCTCCGTTTCATGGCTTTTTTTTTTTTTTTTTTTGGTTTGGTTTGGTTTTTAATGGGAGTTATGGAAACACTACCGGAAGGAGATTTGGGGTTTTTTTCAAAAAAAAAAAAAGGAAAGGAAAAAAAAAAAATATTTGATTTAAGTGTGTCTTTTTCTGCTCACATTCAGGTAGGAGAAGCTCAGCAGTATGCAGCCGGCGTGCAGAAGTCCCTGTAGATGATAGGCTGGGAAGGACCTTACCATGTGTCTGCAGAAGGCTGGCAAATCAGAGCCACTCTGGGTCCATAAGAGCCGCTGCCTAGCAACCACATCCCGAGCCGGAGTTGACAGAATGATACGCAATGCTGTCATGAAGACAGTCAATTTGTGGGCTTCAAAAAAGGTCCTGCGCCTTCATCTCACAATTAAAACCTCTCCTTGTGCAATTACACGTCTCTCCTCTTGCCCACTCTGGAATTTTTGAAATTTTTTTTTTAATCCTTCAGAAGCAGGAAGAAGCTTTTGCTGCCCCTGGGGTATTTCAGATGCTTCAAAAATCACAGCTAGCCAAGAAGCTGTCTACACTCTCAATATGCTCCATTTCAAAATATGAGTCCTTCCCTCCCAAACACTTTTTTTAAAACATTCTCCTTTTATGTTTTCTCTACCAAGATGTTGTTGATTACAAGTCAGATAGAATTTAAAAACAATAAAAGAAGCCCAGAAAGGAAGTTGCCTTTCTTCCAGCCAAACTGCAAAAAGTCACAGATTGAATAATTATTGCTCATTAGGAAAAAAAATCAGCATAGAAATTCTCAGCTTGTAAGCAGTGCTGAGTATTAGAGGTTCACGTTGTTTTAAAGTAAAAAATTCAAATCCTTATGGAGTCAATTATTTTCAGTTTCCAAAAGACCAGATATAAAATACATCACACTAACAACAAAAATTTTCTAGACAGTGCTACCTACCAACAATCACCCCCTGAATTAAGATATTCTGGAAGAGCAAACACGGCCTGAGCATTAGCTGGTTTTAGCTATTCCTCAGTAGCCAATAATCTAAACCTGAAGCAGGCAAACTGTTTATGTTCAGAAGGGTAATAACAGGATGGAATCCTGTCAAATCAAAGCACTTAAAATTTAGTTTTGTGAGAAAACACCAAAGCAGGTATAACTGTGAACACGCAACTCTTCCTTGCTTTCCCCATTTTCCCTTCTGTTTTCTTGAAACTCCTTTAAACACAATTTCCACTCCAATATAGGTGGTTTTAGTGAAAGTGTCGCTTATGGCGATTAATAAAAACCTGCAAAGCATTTGGAAAATAAAGTGTTTTTCCTTCCATCCACAAACAAGCCATGCCTCAATTTATGCTGTTAATCTCCCAGGCCTGCTTTTGTCCAAGCCCAACAGCTCCCGGCCGGCTGAGGAGCCTGCGGGAGGATCTTCCGCCATCCAGCTCTCTCCCTGGTTGCCAGAGTCTGGCACAATGCCTTTGCATTGACCTCTACAGCTTCCTCTTCCAATGTACACCGCAGTCACATGGTCCCAGCACACTCCATGCCACTGCTAATCGCAGGCACCGCTCGGCTCCAGCCTCAGCCAGCGGCTGCTCATCACCAACAGCTGCTAATTTGGGGACCCACTCAACTTTTCAGGGTTTTTCATAACAACGGGGGCGGGGGGAAATGAAAAAAAAGGGAGGGGGGGGAAGTCCTAACACAGCATCCACGCTGGAAGAAATCTAGGAAATACATCCATCCCACTGTGTGCTGTGGCCACAGCGCTCTGGGCCAGGGCAGGTACAGCGGTTCCAGGAACACAATCCCACACCAGGCATGGGGAGACAACCTGAACAGAGTTACACCCTGAAAACACAAGCGACCCAAAAGATGCCCCAAGTTGAATATTTTCACAACTGCTACCACATCCAACCCCTGCACACTCCACTTTATCTCCCTGCACAGCCTCAGTCAGGGTTTTAAAACACGCAGCTGCTTGTAATCGGCTGGGGGGGAGCTTCCCTTCCCGATTGAAGAGTTTGGTTTGTGTTCTCCACAAGCCTGAAATTTGTCCAGTTAATGTATTGTTATTTTGGAGGAAAGATTTGTGATGTGGAAAAAGGGGAAACTTCCCCCTCCCACCACACCCCCCCCCAAAAAAAATTAAAAATTTTAAAAAAACCCTAACAAACAACAAAATAACCTCACAAACATCTGGGGAAATTTCTTTGAGAAATGATGCAAAGAAATATGGAGTAACCTGCAAACTCACGAGGAAGAACAAACACGGAGATCCAAAAAAAGAGAGGGAGATGATACAAATGAAGCTAAACCACTAAGCAAACACAGCGAGCTGGGAACACAGCAACAACACAGACACCGCTCCATAAACCAGCGCAGAGCCCACACTCCCAGGCAAACCCACAATGCACTCGCCACGCATCGCTACAAACCCGCAAGCAAACAGAGAAACAAAGACAGCGAGAGCCGCGCCGGGATGCGAAGGCAGCGGCGGGCAGGGCAGGCAGCGGCGGCGTTCATGCACATGGGCCCGGCGAGACGCGAGCGGACGCACAGGCGGCAGCAGCATTACCCTGAGCTCAGCTCCTTCTCTCCCGCAATAGGCACCGCGCACCATACGGCTCTATTCCCTCTGGCATTGCGAGGGCTCCCCTGCCACTGAGCTCAGCCCATAAACCACTCCCAAACCCCAGCAGAGGCTTCTGTTTTTTGTTCGGGCCAATGAGAAAAGTATAGCTCACTCTTCCTTCCTCCCAGGAGCAGCGCCGGCTGGTTGAAATCCCTGAGCCTGAAACCGAATACCACAGACCCATGAGCCAACTGCAAGTGCCAGCGCGGGGAAAGGCGCGGGCCTCGCTCCCCATCCCCGGGCGGGAGCGCCGCTCCGGGTGTCGGGGGAGAGCGGCCCCCGGCAGCATCCCGGCACCGCGGGGGCCCTTCTGCCGGGCCTGCGAGCGGGGAACAAAGGCTACCTCGGGGCGCCTCGGCCCGCACCGACAGCGCTCCCACACTGGGGCCCTGCAGCTGGAAGCCACGAATTGCGCCGCAAGACAAAAGAAACCATTGTCACCCGGGAGGCACCGGCCCGGCTGCCGCCCCCGCGCTCGCCTCACCGGGCAGCGACCGGCCCCGCCGCTGCGGGGAGGGCCCGGCTGCCCCGCGGGCATGAGGGATGAGCCCCAGCATCTCCTCAGGGAGGGCCCCGGCTTCCCTAGGGGTGAGCCCTGGCTGCTCCTGCGGGGATGAACCCGGCTTTCCTCAAGGATGACCCCCGCTCCCCCGTTAGGGATGACGAACCCCGCGCTCCGCCGGACCCCCAGTACCGGGCCGGCCGTGCCCGTGGAAGGCCGCTCGGAGCCGGCCGGAGCGGGCCCTGTGCCCCTGCCCTGCCGGGACCAACCTTCGCCCCGTCCCCCTCCTGGAGAGCGGTACCGAGCGCTCCCAGCCCGAGGGAACGAACCAAATCGTCGCACACCGCGGTCACCACACCCCGCGCACTTCAAACGCACATGAAAGGCCCGGCTCCTGCCCCGAGGGGGTTACGGTCCGAGGCAGTCGCACACAGAAACAACACCCGAGATAAGAGAAACCAGTTTTCTGCCATGCACCGGAGAGTTTGCGAAGTGCCTGCAAATCACACTCTCAGACCACACTGGCACCAAAGCGAGCGACAACGCTTCCCTCGTCGCACCCTTGCCCGGTCCCAGCCCCGGTGGAACACCAAGGGTATACGGGGCGGGCTCGGATTTTTTATTCTTTTTTCCCACCGCAGTGAACTGAACCAAGCCAAAAACCCACCGAGAGCCAGGCCTGTCTGCCCCTGGAACAGCAGTTTGGTGTCTGTGAGAGCACAACTCATTTCTTCATCCTGCGACAAGGCTGTTCAGCTCCAGGGCCACCACAAACTGTTGTAAACACTGGTGGTTATTTGAGTTACATGTGTGATGCTGCTCCTCCAAGTTCTACCTGAAGGAGGATTTGAGACTCATGCACTGTTCTGAAGACATCACATTTTATTTACTTTCCTAGCTTGGAAAGTCTTAACAAACATGCATTGGTGTAAATTTTTTTGCTGCATTCTATTTATTCTGTCTGCACTTTGTATGCCACAAATGGCATACAAAGTGCAGACAAGTCTCTCCCATGTACAAACCAGTTTTTTTTTTGCTGCATTCTATTTATAGAGGTTTTGTTCAAAAGCAATCCACAAATGGCATACAAAGTGCAGACAAGTCTCTCCCATGTACAAACCAGTGCCAGGTTGCCTTGTGGGACCTGCGAGCTCCCTGGATTCCCTGTCTCCAGAGGCACCCTCAGCTTCTAATTAGACCACAGCTCAGCAGAGCATTTTAGCATCTGTTTAAATCCATCCCTACTTAGTAAAGGAATGAATAGAAAGGAACGGATGGCTGAACAACAGCCTGGGAGAGGGAGAATAGGGCTGAGGACATGCTAACAGAGCAGCATTCTTTTGTGAACAGGTAGATGTTTCACACAACATATCCCATCCTTAACTGAAGTCCAGCATCATTATAGCAATGCTTAGATATTTAAAGTAATAGAAAGAATTTTGAAGGTAAAAAGGAGTTTGCAGTGACCAAAGCTTTCATTTTCATTTGTTCCACAACAGAAATATTACCAAGTTCTTAGAAATTTCTGGTACTGTTTCATGTCCTGAACTGTAGCTATTCACTGCCACTGCATTGCAAATAATCTTGCAAGGCTATAAACACAAAACCTAATAAAGAGGATAATAATTTCAGCAGGGCTATCTCTTTTGATAAATGAAAAATCAAATTAGTTTGGTTATTTTTTGGTTTTTTGTTTTTTGGGGCTTTTTTTGTTGACTCAGCTGTATCCAGATTGCTTCAGTTCTGGATGAATTTAAACAGAAAAACAAATCTCAGCTTGTCTTGAGCTACCTGAAAATGATGTTGGTGATATAACAAGCTTCTGCCCCTAAAAGCTGATGTTAAAATATCATTGCCTTTTTCTGTTGGCTGTTGGTTACACAGCATCTTCCCACTCTCATCCAGGATCCCACGTCTGCGGGACTTTTCTCAGCAACTTACACCCTGGGATGTGAAAGAGGGGACATAAACTATTGCCCCACTTAATACCGTCCTCTAAGGCTGCTGTGAGGTAAGCAGCCATTTACCTACAGGCAGAAAAATAACTTCATTACCCAGAATATTTTGGAGAAGTTAATGGTGCAAGTCCAAGCGCAGGGCAGGGTGGTCTCCAGCGCGCGCGGCGCTCCTGGTAACCGAAGCAGCAGATGGAGCGTTCTCTAACTTCACTCCCAGCACGGAACTCGACGTGCAGGAGCCAAGACAGACATTTGTGTCTGGTAATGCCATCTGTGTCTGCGAAACTGCAGCGCTCTCGCTGGAGTGCTTTTTGTTTGTAGGGAACACGTTAATGGTGGGGATGGCATACTGCAAACTCAGAATTATGGGAATGCTCGGAACGAGAAAGGAATGAATCGATCCCATTTCTGAGCAACAACAGTCATTAATAAAGCATATGAATATAGATGATTCACAAAAAAGAATGGGCAGTGTGAAACAAGTAGCAGCACTGACTTGTGGCTCCACAACTGAACGTGATTATCCTTAATAAGGGCTCAAACCCTCTGGATACTCACAGCAGTAGCTGGGACCAGGAAAGGGTCTACAGGAAAGGGTCAAGTTGAATTCCCAAAGATGGAGAAAGGCAATCTCTTGAGGAGTTCATCTTTAAACCAGACAAGCTCATGGAAGAGCAATTTCTTTGAGAGTCATTGGGCACACAGAAACACTTCTACCTCAGGACAGCCCCTGCCTGAACTGCAGACAGTCAAAGTTCAGAAGGTAACTTTTAGGAGCAGCATCATTTTATGCTCACACCATTCTTACACTCCTGCCAGGGCATCAATGCCAGTGCCTAACAGGTAACTGAGAGCCACAGATCTTCATCCTGATCTGGTATAGCTTCTCTTGTGCTCACAGACTGTCACTGTTTGTTACTGGTTTTGTCTTTGTGGCTTCTTCAGACTGATGAGGGGTTTGTGCCAACAGTGCTGTAAATCATCCTTCTCTAGTCTTTCTGTGAGATGACACTCAGTAGCAACATCCTCATCACTCCAGCTGCATCACCCTCGCCTTTAACACTCATGCCTGGTAACTCCTTTTTCCAACATCAAACTCTATTGTCACATTTCAAGCATTCACAGTCTTTCAGTGTTTAGCTTCCCTGTACCTATCACATCTACTAGTTTATCAAGCTGTCAACCTCCACCTTCCCTTTGCCAGTGACAGCAACCTCCAAGGCTCCGTGTCTGCTTCTTCATCAGGCATCTCCTACCAGGCCACGCTCCACAAATGGGAAAAACTCCATGTCAAAATCTGTTGATTTGGTACGTCTCTAAAATCCCTTTGAAACCTACCATCTGGCATTTCATGATGCAAGTAGTGAACTGCAAGCATATACTCTGCTTTTTCTGCTAAATTCTGTTAGTCGTGTTGCTACCTTATCCTTCAAAGCATCTCTGCCTTGCTCTGTTTACTTGCTACATCTTTTTCAGCATCTGGAGTGTGCCTGCTCTAGGAGAGGAATAGTTTCCTTTATTTCTTACCTTGTACCATCCATGAATCCTTAGGCCCTGAATCATGATTCAGTTTCTTAGCTATGGCAAATTATAAATAATGTTATTTAGCTGACTAACCACTTGAGAAGCAAGTGCTGCTCTGCTGCTGGTTTATTGTGTGACCTCAGGCAAGTCACTTGGGACATTTCCAAATGCATGGAGACTCCAGTCCACATCCAGTTACCCTAATGAGCAGTTTGATCTTTTCAAAATGTAGGAGTATCTTTAACTTCCACTGAAATCAGTGGTGCTGAGCCTAATCCCCAGTGCTTGTCACAGCGTCTCTGCTTTTATGGAGACCTTTACCTTCCAAAATGTTTATTTTTACAGAACAAGGGTAAATGCTACATATCACTTCCTGACTGCACACTCCTTTGTATCTGTTAGTACCAATCTATTTTACAGTTTGGAAGGAGTTCTGAGTGATTTGCAGAACACCAGAGGTTGATTCAACAGCAGAGCCTGGGATGCTGCCAGCATTCAGTCTGGCCAATAAAACAGAAACAGCAGTGAAGGGCTTCCAGGATTACCTGGTGTTCATCAGCCATACAGGTCATTACATCATTAAAGGAACCCCTGTCTCAGCTGTACTCATTCCCATGAAACTTGCAGTGCACATTTTGAGGCCCCCAAATAGTTCCTTTTTCCAATCACCACATAAAAAGTTTCAAGGAAGACATTAAAGCAGAAGAAAAAGCAAAGTGAGCCAATGCTTGCCCAGAACCTAGAGCTGAGATTGGCAGAACCAGGACAAACTGCTCTTGTGTTCAGTCTCAAACCTGCCCTGAGCAAGTCCTGAGCCTGGACAGTCAGTCCAATCTTTGACCTTGCCCTTGAAAAACTGAATGGAAAGCCAAACTGACAGGAAGGGCAGTGACAGAGTATCTAGGAAGTCACACACACCCATTAAAAATGGACTTCAAGCTCATTTCACAAAACATTTCTCAGCTAATAATGTCTGTCATTAGCAGTTTAGAACCCGGGCAGGATCTGAGCCCAGCCTACAGCAGGACTCTGACTACACTGTGTGACATATCTGTGTGATGTGATTTCTTCGGGTAGCACTTTCAGAGAATTTACTACTTAAGGTCAGTTTGCCATTTTCAAAAAAGAGTTGCTCAAAATTGAAAAATAAAAATGCACTTTTCAAAGACTGTGTTCATCAAAGTTAAAATTATTTAAGGCAGTCAAGAGCAGAGCTTTTTAAAGACTTACTTTTTCACTTTGGGGTATTTCATCTCTGAAATAGCATTGGTGGCATCCGTCTGTCTCTCCTTCAAGTGCTGTGGCCACATATTATCCACCCAGTCGACTAAGTCCACCTGAAAGGCCACCAGAATCAACTGTTAGCTCCTGAACACATGGTAGGACATATTCTTGTTGGCTAAAACTCTTCCAGTGACAGCAGCAGATGCTCACAGACAGGGAGAACATTGCTGTTCAGCAAAAGTCCTGTGCACTCAACTTGTTAAGGTGCAGCATTTTATCACCACAATTCAACCCCTGAAAACACAGGGGAAGCAGAGTTTTACAGTCAGTTTACCCGAGTGCAAATTCTGTCTCATGAGCACCTGTGAGCACCTTCTCTTGTACTGTCTGTGGCATGTTTGTAGCCAACAGCCTAGAAATTGCATTTATGAACATGAAAATGCAAACATAAAAGGGATTATACTATGCTATTATCTTGCATTTCAAGGAGGAAATAGGACTGATTCCATCATTATCACAACTGTATGTGAAAAAAAAAAACTTGCTTACTGCCCTGATTCTGAAATAATTCCCACATTCTGATACTGCAACCCAGAGTTTGCACAGCAGGGAACCTAAATCAGGTATTTCTGCCTTACACGGGATCAAAACTCTGCAGGATTCAAGGGAATATCTTATACAAATATATAGGAGATGACTTTAGGTACTGGACTTCCACAACACCCTCTCTTCTACTCCCATGGGAATGCAAATCTCTCTTTCAATGAGATCTAAATATTCCTGGTTTTACAAACAACTGTGCACTCAGGCTATTTTAAACAGCTATGAAATAACCATTTACACGTGATAACAGGTACCTAACTGTGTATTTCATTTCTAAGCACCCAGGAAATTTGCACAGATGTTTTAAAAGCTCGCTGAGCACAATGTGTTTGGGAAAACCGGGATCAATTGAACACAAGAAATTCCCCAGAGCACCTTCAAATTGCCCGCTAAGTGTCTGAATGACAGCAAAAATCTGAATGAACTTCTAAATACGTGTTTAATATTCAAATTTGTGATCTATGTGTAAAAGAACAAAGGAGTCTAGTTAAGAATTACTTCTCCAAATCAGCAATTAGAGCTGCCATCTATTTGTGAGCCGTTCAGGCAGCAGTGTGGTGTTTCTGTTGTCTTCTCGGGTAAGAGATGTCCCCAGCAGGAAAAAAAAAACCTGCTGCTGTAACTAGAAGAGGACTTAGAAATCAGGTAAGAAGTGTTTGAAAACAAAACATCATAGAGCTGTAGTTTTACCCCCAGCTGCATGCTAGCATAGCACACATGGCTACATTTCAGTGATAAATGAAGTAATTTTTCCTAAGAAGATCACAGTTTCATGCCAGTGACTCCATTGGGAATAAAATCACAAGAGCCCTCTACCTTTAAAAAGTATGTACAAATCTACCCCCTTACCTACTGCTAATTCTGACATAGCAGTGATTATGCTGATTTAATTATGTAAACATTTCTACATTTAACAATTGTGTTCCCAACTTTTTTTGCTTTGGAACACCCTGAACATTTTTTTGGATAAAAGGAGTGTTCATATATAATGAGCCCAAGCTTTCTGAGAGTTTAAGCTTCTTTAGAGGAGGAAAAATACTACATAGGTATTTAATTTTGGATGAAGTTTCCTCTAAATATCTTGAGAAGAACTGTGTATCAGTGCAAATTGCATGATTAACAGCTCATCAGGTACCTAATTCCTGTAAATTAAGTTCCACTGTCAAGGAGACCAGCTTTCTACTTGGCTAAAAATGAGATCCTGACACTAAACGAGCAGGAGTTCCGGGCACTTCCCATCACCTTGTTTAAACTCCCTGATTTATTTCTGGGAAGAAGCTGCAATAAAGCCCATCACCAGAGGCTCCCTTACCACGTTGGGGCGCTTGACAATGTTCTCCAGCTTGGTGTGACTGAACTCCAGGCTGATGACGTTGTAGAGCTTCTCCCTCTGGGCCTCTGGGGTCTCGTAGTACCTGACAAACTGAGACATGCTCATCTCAACTCCCCTCTGTGTGTTCACATCCATCACATCCACGATCCGGCGGCTTCCTGCAAGCACAGCAGCAGTCTCACAACATCTGCCTTGCCATCATTTATGTATATACACATACAGGTGTGTGTGTTATTTTATATATCTATATATATCAGTTCTCAGTGACTGCAGGGAAACTGCAGGAAAAGAGGATGAGACCAGTACCAGCCCTTCCATGGCTCCTAAGAAGCTCAAACAGTGAGCAAGGAAGTAACTTAGAACTAGACTTTTTGCCCAATGTGACACTGAACAGGTCACCTGGTTCTTCACAGAGATGGAGAGAGCAGTTTTCTCCTTCATGTGAATTGATGCGAGCAGAAGTACATTAAAAACTATGAAGAAGTAATACAATATGGTAGCAGGGGGCAGGCAAGACAAATTGCTCTCCAAATCATACTGCAATTTTCTAAACATCCATATGTCTCTCAAGATGCTTTTACTCATGTGCAAAAACTATCCACAAAGAGCAAAAACTGCCTTGCATCACTGGATACTGTAAACTGCTGAACATTCCCAATTCCAGTGGATGAAAGCACTAAATGCCATAGAGGAGTGAGCCCCCACTTTGGATCTCTCAACAAAAACCACAAGCCTTACTTTCAGCTCCTCGAGTGGCAGACATACAAGTCTCATTAGCACCAGAATGTTGAGCAGCAGTTTTAGTCGAGCCTTCAGCTTTACACAGATTAATCCACAATCTTCTCTTCGGCCAACTGGAAGGTTTCACCTCTCCCAGCAATTTCATCATCCTAATTAGCAGTTCGTTTGTGTGTGAGCGAACAGGAGCCCATGAGAGACATGCCTCGTTTCCAGGAGAGGATTCCAGCAAACAAACTCGCAGTGCTTCCAAAAAATCTCTCCAAAACAATTTCCACCGCCAAAGAAATAATTCAAAATAAATTGCATTAATACAAAATGTAGGGCTGCGATGCACCATCAGAGGGAATTATTAATAATTACAGCACCTGGTCTATCATGTGCTTGGGAGCAGTATTTCAGCAGGAGTAATAGCCTGGATTGCTGCTCTCCATTACAAACATCCTTAGCCCCTGATAGCAATGACAGTGACAGATGTGATAATGACTCTGCAAAGGAACTCAAGACCATAAAGCTTTGAAATCAAAACGAAAAATTTATATAGTGTAAATCTAGAATAGTCCCACCAGCCTGTCAGTCAAACTCCTCATTCCAAGGGCAAGGAACAGGAGCCCATCCTTGGGCTGGGCTTGGGACTGTCTGGAGTGTTGCCACCTTGAGGCAGGATGGGGAGAGTTTAGTTATGTGTGAAAAAGCACAAGAGTCCTTAAATTTGGCATCTGCATGTTTGAAACAACATATATAAAATCTAGTTATGGGTTGGAGGGTTTTGTTGTGGTGGTTTTGTTTTTTTTTAACTGTGAGCTTTACTATCTAGGGGAATGTTCTTTTTTCAATTCCACAGGTTAGCAGCTTGGGGTGGAGTCCTGTTAAACATGCTCCTAATGAAAGCCATCCTGATCTCTGCTTCCAGAGCCTGGGATCAAAGCAATGGCTACAGCCCAGAGGGGCTGAGGACACAGATACTGAAAGATTGCATTTGAAGGGCTGCGTGGCTGAGCCTGGGATCTGCCACATTTTAGTTTAGGTCTGATCTCAGCTTTGCTGTTAGCAACCTTGTAGAGCCTCTCAATTATCCTTTCCAAAAGAAAAATCAGCAGTTACCTGATGAATTAAGAGTATGAGGAGCAGTTCAATAGCAGGTTTGTTAAATGAACACGATTATCAATTACAGGCAGAAGAGCTTAAGATTTGAATTGATAATCTCTTGACTTCCAAATTAAAGAGTAATTTGAGGGGATGTTTTTCTCTTAAGCCACAGTACTGTCAAACAAGCCTATACATAATGATTCTTGGAGTACTGCTCACAGAATTTGAGATGTATAATTAGAGGTTCACATCCTGGTGTTCACTGCCCACTGCACAGCAGCTCTGGCTCCCTGCCAGCTTTATCTCTTCTGTCCTGAAAAAATTCAGCTCTTTCTTCTATCTCCTGTTCCTAGTACAAGGTGAAAAAAATATCATCTAGGAGAGTAAAGAGCAGGGGAAAGAAGCACACAGAGGCTCCAAAAAGTGATGGCAGGCTGAGAGATCTCAGGTCAGGCTGGATTTCTGAGCAGCTCCACACACATTTTACCATGATCCATTTCTGTTAACCACTTCCTAGGCATGGCCTTATCACACTCTGTGTTCTCAAAGAAGGGACCCCCTTCAGCCAAGCCTGGGGCAGCCCAGCAGATCCCAACAGGACCTCAGTGACCCTGGCAGCCTCTCACCCTCTTTCCCACCTGTCCCTCACTTCAGCTCATCACCATGGACATGGATTAACGGGCACCTGGAGCCCTGGCAGAGTCTCCCTCTGCTGACAGGGGAAGCCTCAGTGTGCTGTGCACCACTTCACCCTTGACTTCCCTGGATGTTTTTCCAGTAGAGCTCTGGACTGGGCAATGTGGGATTAAGAGGCACTGCTTCCTCTCTGGCAGCAGATGTGATTCAGAGGCGGAGTGGTGATGCTGGGGGATTTTACAGCCTAAAGAAACATCTTCCTCTCCTGCTGCTTGCTCATGGAGCACAAGTGAATCCCCAAAGGATGACAAAGACAGTAACTAAGAAACAAGCTAGTGCCATCTCTGACAAGAGGAACAGACAACAGCAAGAAGGAGACAGAAGAATCAATTGCAGGGATGTAAGGGGGGAAAAAAAAATCTATCAGTATGAGCTACAGGAGAACTACGCTTTGCTTAAAACCTTAAAAACATATCAAGTTACTCCAGCCCATGTATTAGTAAAATCCCCATTAGAATTAAGGTGACAATAGCATATATAATATCAGTTTCCTTTATTTAGGGCCTAATGACCAAGACACTGTAAAGATTCTCATAGATTGAATTCTACAGCATTTCTATATGCTGTAATATAATTTTTTTTTCACATAGAAATGAACATCTGAAGGAAAAAACGACTTGTGCAGGGTCCCTGCCTCCCACTGCCCACCCTGGACAAGGTGGTTTGGTACAGAGATTGGGTCTTCTGGGCTTCTTGGTAAAACAAGAGCAGCAGGGAAGCAAACCTTGTTTCCTTGTCAGAGAGATAGCTGTGCTCCAGGAATGAAGGCTACACAGGCATCTTCCCTGCACCAGCAAATAATTTCCCAAATCACAGCTCACCAAGCCCACCCCAAACACTTTGGGAATGATGGAATGATGGGCTCCAGCTCTGAAGTCATTCAGCAAAGTTCTCGTTGATCTCCCCTGCAGAGTTTGCACCCACACTTCCCTTCATGTATAAAATATTCTAACAATTTTCCAGAGAGGAAACAGGGAATGGGAAATGCTGGGACTGTAATCATATCCTCTGTTGTCCAACAGCTGCCATGTTTTATTTCTAACAAGTGAAGCACTGCCTTCCCCTGTCTGAGCTTCAGGTTGTCCAAGCTGCCAGACTCCAGCCTTCAGCATGGCCCATCCTTTTCCATGATGTGGATTTAGCATGGATATTTGGAGCAGTGGAAGCAATGCAAACATGAACCACACAGCAGAGTATGAGAAATGCACAGGAGGTGTGAATCAGAGCTGCAAATGACACCAGAGTTTTCTAGGCTGTGGTCTCCTCTCCAGCACAGCACCAGCAGGAAAAGGTGCAACTCCCCCACAGCAGAGGAAAGAGGAAATGTCCTTTCTGTAAGAATGATTATCAAGCCTGTCCATTAAGAGGATAAAGCTACCTTGGGGAATTATTTTAACCCTCTGTGGCTGAATTGAGATCTGTGCTGAAGGTACATTATAGTGTTGACAACCAGAAACCTCCAACGCCGAGGGACCGGCCCACTGGTCCTGCCTAATCTTTATGCTTCTTATGAGGAAAAAAATCCTTGGTTTGTAAAGCAGGATTTTTGGCAGAGCCTCAGGAAATCTGCCAGCCTCGCTAGCGGGTTAATTGTACCTAAAGACTGAGGCTTTGACTTGCATCCCAGTTAATCCCCCCGGAGCTCCCGGAGCTGGAAGCACGTATTCTTCTGCTGCCCACGGGAGACTATTATGATATCCCCTGCTGACTGGGAGGGATGTGAATCCGAGCAGAAAGTCCTTACTCAAGTGGAGCTACTCCCGACATTCCCTGCATTTCAGAGCGAGGGTACGAACAAATGAAGAGGCGCGTCCCGATCCCATCGCTCTGAGTGCCACCAGAGGGCACAGAAGAACAAAGGGAAGCGAGCCCGGCCATCGCAGACAGCTCTGCCCAGAGCTCCCCGCCCAGCCCTTCCCCAGGGAGCCCCAGAAGCCCCAGGAGCCCCAGGAGCCCCAGGGAGCCCCAGGAGCCCCAGGAGCCCCAGGAGCCCCAGGAGCCGAGCTGACTCCATCCTCCCCTCGGCCGCTCTCTGTCCCCGCCGCCAGTCCGGCCGTGCAGCAGGAGCTCTCTCAGCGGGGTCACAGCATCTCCTCCTCACCGAGGGGTGAAACTGCCCTGACACGACCCTTCCCCTCGGGCCCCTCTGCAGCTTCATCGTTTGATATCAAAGTGCCGAATTGCGATAAGCCGCGGGAGGAGCTGTTTGCACACAACAAAATGTGTGCAGGAGCAGCCTGTGAGCCCCTTCGGCCTCAGTGCTGCAGGACGGGGCTGGAGAAAGGCGCTCAGGCAGATCAGGTGTTTTGGTGGCATTCTGTGGAATTAAGCAGTATCCTTACACCTACCCAAGCCATCGTTTTTAGTGATTCTTTGAAGCTTCAGACAGTGAAAAAATTCCTTATACAAAGGAGCATTTTATTTCTAATTTTTTTACAGTATTCCAATGCATTAACTTGTAGTATAAGCAAGCTCCAGGTGGCTGAAAACACTGAGCACACAAATTACAATTATCGAAAGAAAAATAACACAAGGTCCAAGAAAAGTGGGATGGGATATAACTTTGGTGAAAATATTATGGTTTATTTATCTATCAAATTTAATTTAAGACCATTAATCATTTCCTAAAATGTCT